CGGGGATCGAACCAGCAACCTTAAGCGTATGGGGACGATGCTCTAACTGACTGAGCTACTGGGTCAAGTCTGTGAATTTTCTTGAACTTTGTTTTCTAATCCTTCTATTATGGAAACTACATTTCCTCAAATCTCCCTAAAGACATATAATCTGTACCTTTGGAACTTCAGACCTCACTCCCATTATTGGAGGCTGAGAGGTCACAGCCCTGGCTTTGCGGTTGGTCAGTCTGTGCTGAGTTTGGAGAACTTCTTCTTAATTAAAAGGAAGGTTTATGGGTGTTTGGAGCGGGTGTTAAGAATTAGCATTCCCTCGCCGAGACCTTCCTGTGCTCGTACCCAGGAAAATGGGAGGAACGCGGGGGGAACCACAGCAGCGCGTGGAAGGAGAGAGGGTGAGCGTGCGTCTCACACCGGAAACGCGTTCTTCCCTTACGTGACAGTATGGTCACCGCAGTGCGCCTCCTCAAAGGACTGCACTTTGAGGAACACAAGGCGCTGTCACTTACAGGCAGTTATATTTCAACGCTCTGGAGCCGCGGTGTGACCGCCCACGGACGGCCCAGAGGCCACAGGTCCGGACTCATACCTGAGCGTCACCTGTGTTGGACTCTCAGGAGGGAGTGGCAGGAAGCGGTCCTGGCGGGGTTCAGGGCACAGGCTGCGAGGTGCTCACAAAGGGGGCCTGGGGGCTGCTCCTCCTCTGTCTCCACATCACACCTTACTTCTCTCCCACGGTCGGTGTCCATGGGTGTCACGCCCGCCACTCCCCCTGGCTGGGGGCAGCTCTGGGCTCGTGATTCAAGCAGATCCTGCCTCCAAGCTTTAGCATGGAAGGCTCCAGGGATGGACTTGGCCTGGCCCTGGTTCTGACACCTGCTCCTAGAACCTAGAGAGGCGGCCAGGAAGGGGGTGGCTAAGACTGGTCAGAGCCAGGGCAGAGCCTGCCTCTGGCGGGGGCGTGGGTTAAGGCCTTCGGGATGGGAGGCTCCACCCACAGCGACTGCTGGAGTGGGGAGGGGTGGGGCCCTTTCCCAAGAAGAGGGGAAGGGGGCTGGGGACAGAGGAGCCCAGGTGTGCACCTGTCTCTGCTGCTAACCAGCCGTGCGACTCAGAACCACATCGGGTCTCAGCTTTTCTGTTTGCAGAGTGAGACCTGTGGTTTGAGCATTGCTACGACTCCTCATCTGAAATGGATTGTGATATTTCTGAAAATTACATGTTCTTCTTAACTTGTCGGAGAATTAACTGACTCTATGAAAGACCGGAGAGTCGTGATTCCACACATCACCTAGGAGGGGGGCAGACTATTTAAAGAACATCCTGTGCTGAGGATTTTTAAAAGTGTGAAGCCCACCCCTGGAGTGCTTGTTTCACCCCTGGAGCCCAGGTGTAAATGCCCAACCACGCACTCCCCACAGCGCACTGGCCGCCCCTCACCAGGGCTCTGACCGTGCTGGAAGATCCCAGGGTCTCAAGGCGCAGGCGGCATCCTCTGGGTGCCAACTGGTGGTGGGGAGGCAGCTCGGGGCCCTCTGGCTCCCAGATGGAGCTCGGCCAGTGGGACCGAATGGCTCTCACACACAGCCGCAGGCAGCTCCGTACATGCTGGGGGGTCAGAGGACTGAGTCCCAGCGACCTGCCGTCACGCCCCCTCGTCATTTGTAACTGTGAGGAAGTGCGTGCAATTAAAATCGAGTCCATGTAACCAGAGCCAGGAATTGCCGCTGTTCTCCAATCGCCAGAGCACCTTTAAAGAGCCGTGAATTCTTCCAGCAACACTACCGAGACCTCCTTCGCTGCCTCTCCCCCTTCCAGTGGCTGGTTCTGCTCGCTTTCTCGTCTGCCTTACTCCCGGCTATTTCCATTCCCAGGCTAAGACAGGGGACAAAGGGGTTGGGACTGAGTTTGTTTGAATTGGTTCCATTGTGAGCTGGGTTTGCACGCCCTGGACTGCCGTGGTTAGAACCAACTCTGTGCCCTGGCCTCTTGGAAGCTCCCTGCACTTGCCCCCTCCCTCCTCAACACAGCCGCACACCCAAACCCCGAAGCCGCCCCTTGGGCGGGCTGCTGCCCTCCGCCCCGGGTCTCCACAGCCCCCTTCCCATTTGGACGCTCACCCTGGAGCACCCTCATCTTCCCAGGTTAGCTCCTAGGGCAGAACTTAGGATGCCAGGTGACCAACCTGCCAGAAAAGTTCACGTTTGGTTGACAACCTGCCTGGCTCCCCCTTGTCATGGCACCAAAACGGCACAGCAGCCCGCCTCTCCGGTGGCCCTGGGTCCTCAGACGCCTGGGGACCCACAGGCTCAGTGCTGGTGCCCCCAGGCCTCTGCTCCGCCGGAGTGAGGCCACCTGCCCTTCTCCAGGTCCTTGCTGTCACGCCATCTCAGTCACCACTGCCTCCCGTCTTTAAAGTCCGAACACGTGGGGACGGCCTGGTGCCGCAATGCACTGTGACACGCCACCCTGATCTGGTCTTGGAGTCTCAGTCACAATCTCACCGCAACAGACCGTGAGCGAGCGTTTTTCATGGCTGCTGAGAACAGCACAAGGGAGCCTGCGGGCTTGAGCAGCTGAGAAGGTCCGGATGGAGGGCGGGCGCGTGTGTCTGTGCTTCTCCCCGTTCTGTCCTGATTCTCCAAGGAGCCTCCGGGGCAGTGCCTCCTTGTTCCTGTGGAGGGAGCGAAGAGCCACTGGGCCAGAGTCTTGAGATTCACTCTGACTGGACAGCATTGGACAGCGGAAGCCAATTGTCATCCCAAGCCGACCCCAAAGCCAGGGAAAGAAGCACCACGTGCCCTTGGCCTAGGGCTGGGGTGACTGTGGAAGAGAAGGGGGCTGTCCTGATTGGGTTAAACCTCTGGGGACCCTTCCGAGAATCGGTGGTGATGGTGGTGGCAGTGGTGGGGGTTAGACTCGGCCTTACCCGGATGGGGGTCTGGGAGGCAGCTGCAGCCACGCAGCCCAAAGTCATCTTACTGAGCATCTCATTTTGTCCCCACGCGAAATATGATGTTATGGGCATCCAAGTAATTTGTATTCATAATACTTGAGACTATGGGGAAATTCATTTTGCAGTGAGGCTAAGTTCTCCATTAGGCACCTTGGGCCCATGATATATTTTTAGGACCCCATGACAATGTTTTATTTTCCAATCAGAAGGAAAAGAAACTTTTAGATCAAAGAAAAATTTTAAACATTTTATTTATTTATTTTTAAATAAAGGGGAAGGGAGGGAGAAAGAGAGGGAGAGAAACATCAATGTGTGGTTGCCTCTCGAATGCCTGGATACTGGGGTCCTGACCTGCAACACCCAAGTATGTGCCTTGACTGGGAATTGAACCCGTTTGCAGGCTGGTGCTCAATCCACTGAGCCACACCAGCCAGGGCAGAAAAATGTTTCTATATATAACATTTATACATTAGTCTATAACAATACAGTTGTAAAATATAATTTGTATTATCATTACTATTTATGAAGGAATGGGCCCACCAAGGTCAAGTGCACAGGTAAGAAAGTGATCGGTGCCCGCTTTGCATTTTTTCTTTACTGGGAAACCCAACCCTGGAATCTAAGTGTTGCCGGTAGCAACCCAAAGTCCGAGGCAAAAAGGTCATCCCTTGAATTCCAAGATCACTACCCACTCGCTTGAGGACGTGCATGGGTTTTATGCGCCTTGACCCAGAGACGTGGGCTGGGCGGCGGCAGCTGGGGAGCTCGGCCTCGCCACCCCCACAAGGGCAGGGAAGGCGGTGCTGTGGCTGGAACAGGACCCGGATCTATTCGAAATGTTCCACGGGTCGGAAGCTCACGGACGCGGGCACTAAGCGCACATCGTGTCATTTAACCTCTGGAACCACCCACTTGACCCACTGAAGCAGATTCTGGGCGGGCGAGGGGCGTTCCCGGTTTCCGGCCCGGGTCCTGCCTTGCAGGAGGGCAGCTCGGCTCAAGGCTGCTGACCCCGAAGCTTTTGTTTTTTGCCAGAGACCACCGGCACTTAAAGTGGCCGTAAACTCTTGTAACGAGTCTAGCTGATCAAGCAAAGAGGGCAGCGACGTGGGACACGCCCCGGGGGTCGCAGGAGCAGATCCCGGGCCCCACGGAGCCTTTCTCTCTAGGGAGGCGGCCAGGCCGTCCGCGACGCGGCAGGCCGATCCCCGGCAGGCTCTCCCGCCCGGCTAGGTGGTGCTGGAGAGCCAGAGGCGGGCTTTCGGGGACAGCTGAGGTGGTCTGTCCTCGTGCCCGCGGAGGGGGGCGACCTCGGCGACGGCGGCGCAGGCCGCGCCGCGCCCCCCGTCACCAGGCCATCGCACACGCGTGCGGGTCCAGCTGCTCCCTCTCGGGGTCAGTGTCCGGAGGGCCGAGGGCCCGGCGGCCCCCGAGCACCCGGCTCTGTCCCTCGCCGAGGTTGTGCAGACAGACCCGGGCACGGCGTCCGTGCTGGCATCGCCTGGCGCTGGCGAGCAAGGCCGAGTCCGGGGCCACCGGCCCCCTGAACCGCACCCGGGGCGGTGGGCTTAGCGGCCTGGGCATTAACCATCTCGCAGGTGACTCGGGCACCTCGCGCAGGGGCCAGCCACGGAAGGCAGGTGCGCCCCCACTGCTCCCCGCTGGGCGCGGCGTGGGCGGCGCATTCGTTTGCGAACGGCCGTGACTGCCTGGCTGAAGGATTCGGGCGCGTAACTTTGTGGAAGACACCGCCCCTCTGTGTCACGAGCTGCAGTCCCCGGGGACGTAAGGCCATCCCACCTCCAGCAGCCTCCATTTGGAAGGGCTGAAAACCTCACGCACGCGCAGAAACCACCCCGCCAGGCACCTCCAGGCTGAGCGGCGTCTTGGCTGGAGCACGCGCACTAGCAAGCTGTTCGCCGCTCTAGGTCCATGAGGCCCCGCCCCTAACACCGCCTTCCCTTGCCGCGCCCCGCGGTTTCGTCCCGCCCTGCGCGTGCGCCGACGCGGTATTTTTCCCGTGGTGCTCCGCGGCCTCCCGATTCGTAACTATGGCGGGTATTGAGCCGCTGGAGAGTTGCAAAGGATGCTCCTCCGCCAGCTGCGCGTGTGGAGAGAAGGGAACGTGGAGCGACTCCTCGCGGTTTAGCCAGCGACCCTCGGAAGGCTCCAGCCGCCACCAGCTGCTGCAGCAGTGGACGAGCACGTGGGACTCCCTAAGCGGGGCCACGTCGGTGGCGGAGAGGACGCGGCGCGAGGAGGCTGCGGTGCCCTCCGAGGCCGAGGACCAGCCGCTGGTGTTCCTGTGCGCCGGTTGCCGGCGGCCGCTGGGCGACTCCCTGAACTGGGTGACCTGCCGCGAGGACAACAATTGCATCCTGCTGCGCTGTCAGTACCCGGACTGGGTGCAGGGCCGCCCTCCCGAGATGCGCCGCACCCGGGCGGCCGGGGGCAGGCAGGGGCCGCGGGGCGGGCGCTTAGGCGCTACCCAGACTCTGTAAGAGCAGAAAATAAGAGAGGGTGATCGGCCCCGGGGAGAGATGGGGCCCCCGAGTGACAACTTGTCTGGGGTTCCCCAGCCATTCATCAGTAGCGGTTGAACCAGCATTGTTGTGAGCATCAGTCAGTAAAAACAGACCGACCGAACTGTAAGCATGTGGGGGTGTAGGCACGCTGTAGCGTACCCCACAGACATCTGCGGGCTGTGACTTTGGTAAATAATGTCGCACATGGTTTATTTAGCAAATTCAGCCCTTCCGCTACCTGCTTCCTGCAGGGGGACGTCAGGATTCATTTGCAGCCTCTTAGCACTTTTATCAGCAGAGGCCTTTTCTCCCACGTTACCTCTACAGAGCGGACAGAACACAATGTTTACCAACAATTTTAAAAGAGAGATTGCAATGAAAGCACCAGTAATCCCAGGAAAACTGGAGAGGTGGGCGGGTCTAGTACAAGATTTAGGAAGGCCGGGGTTCTAGCTTTTAATCCTGGGGCCTCCCGTTACCTGCGGGTTTCCCGCATCCCTTCCTTTTGTTGCACGTGTAGTAGTCACACTTATTTAGGGGAGTGGGTCACCTGTGTTTATTCTTAATCAGTGTAGATAATGGCTATTTTCGGGCTTGTGAGTTTCAAGTTCAAGTGTATGCTCCGTTTAATTGTATACCTATTTTGATGGCAGAAATTCAACAGTTCATTGCTGTCCATGGACTGGTTTCCTTCCTGGGGTAAAATGATGGGAGAAAAGGAGGGCACCCATGTCCGCTGTTACCTGGAACTCTCATACCTGCAGTTTCCCATAAGGACAGGTCACTTTAACAGTGATTACTGAGCCAGCATATTTAAACATGTCAACTTTTAAAAACCATACTTGAGGTTGTATTATTTATACATTAAGCATTCTTTTTTATTACTCCACACGTGTGTTCTGAGTATTTCTCCCTGTGAGTGTGTGCAGACAGACTTCCTGATGGGAGCAGATGCTGGCGGCTCCTTGCTCACTGGTGGCGACACAGCCTGGAGCTGGCCCCTCTCCTGTTTGAGTCCAAAGCCTGGATGCCTCTCTGCCTTGTTTTCTCCTCTGTAAAATGGGGGTTTTACAAATTTAATGCCCTGCACCGATGAAAGATAAAAAAATGAACTCTTGGATTAATTTTCATTCCCTCCTGCCCCAATTTGAGTTAGTTGAATTAGTTTTACTTTGTTGAATTTCATAACATTTACATACTATTCTGTAGCCATAGCCTGGTAATTTAGCTTTAATATAATGTTTATATGAACTCCTCTCTCAAGTCCAGAACTCTTACTATTTTTTAAGATTTTATTCATTTATCTTTAGAGGGGAAGGGAAGGAAAGAGGGAGAGAAATATCAATGTATGGTTGCCTTTAGTGGGTCCCCCACTGGGAACTGGCCTGCAACCCAGGCATATGCCCTGCCTGGGAATCGAACTGCCATCCCTTAGGAGTTCGCAGGCCGGCACTCAATCCACTGAACTATACCAGCCAGGGCTCAGAACTCTTATTAACATAAGGCTTAGCCCTGGCTGGTGTGGCTCAGTGGATTGAGCACCGGGCTGTGAACCAAAGGGTTACATGCCTGGGTTGTGGACTGAGTCCCCAGTAGGGGGCGTGTGAGAGGCAACTGCACATGGCTGTTCCCTCCTTTCACCTCTCTAAAAATAAGTACAATGTTAAAAAAAAAATCATAAGGCTCATTTATAGCTTAAAAAATAAACCTCAGTTATTTATTTGATAAATTGTCATCGGTAGTCTCCCCATCCTCAAGAAAACTCTGAGTGTGAGTGCTCGGAAATGTCTTTCTGTTGTCTTTAGACATGAGGGCAGCTTGGCTGCGTGTCCAGTTCTGGGGTCACACTCTGCGCTTTTGGCAGGCCTGGGAGCAGCTGGTGCCCAGGCCACGAGTAGAATAAAGGTGAGGCTTGAGGAGGCAGGAAGGGGCCCCCAAACCCAGGGCCTTGTGGGTTGTAGGGAATCAGAATCTATTCTAGTGAATGAGGTGTGTAAGGGGCCACACGTGACCCAGACTTGCTTTGGAGGAAGCGTGGAGGTCAGGCAGGAGCTTGTGCAGCCGTCTAGGCAGTAGGCGGTGGGGTGTGGCGGCTGGAGGGCAGGTGTGAGGTAGGATTGAGTGGGTGGTGGGGAAGCAGGGTGACACCCCGGTTTCTGGTTCGAGCAACAGGATGGAAGGAGGTGGGACTTAGACTGTAGAGGAGGCGAAGCCAAGGGCGCGTTTGCCCCGCTTTAGGTCAGTGCCCAGTGCCCGTTGTCTCCCCTCCCCCCCCCACCTTCTGTCCTACGGCCCTGGACCCTCTAGCCATGTCTCTTGCTTCTGGGGTTCAGCTGAAACCCCGGTCCAAATCACAGCCTCAGAGATTTTTGGCTGCTTCTCGAGGACCCTTAGTTACTTAGAGAAGTCAGCTCTGCGTTCGACACCTGCAGGTGTGGGCATTGGCTAGTAGCGTCTTCTCGGCTCTGGCCCCAGTTTTACTGTGTCTGGCAGCCGCTCACAGCAGTTGTTGGGTTGAGGTTCTAATTGTTCCAGGTTTCGCTGTCGATTGAATTTTTCCCTCTAACTTCATTCATTTTGTTAATTTCAATTGAATTTGGTTTTCTGGGGAGGCAAGGAAATAACTCTTATTCTGCTACCCTTTTGCAGAAACCCTTGCACACTTAGTTTTAAACCACCATGCCTGTGTAAGAGTGTGTGTGTGTGTGTGTGTGTGACACACTTTGGGCTCTTACTTTTCCTGGCCCTCCTGGTTCTAAAATAAAAGTTGAATTACAAGTTCTCTAAATATGTGTGTGCGTTATAACCAACCACATTAATAAATAATTGGGGTTTTTTTCTAGGTGTTTCCAGTAATGTTTCTGTGGACAAGGAGGAGATACTATCCAAACGTGAAAATGAAAGTGGTTGGTGAGTGAGGCTGTATGCATGTGAATATGTACGCTACAGAAAAGGTTTGTTTTTCAAACAGAAGTCTTTAAAGAGATTATTACCAGTAAAGATTACTTGGGATAAACCTTTATTCCATGGTAATCGGTAGAAAGTTAGTCATTGTTAATTTATCATCTCTTGGGTGATGGTGGTCTCTTGTAGATATTGAGATGGAAAAGTTTTTGTTTTTTAAATGCTCTCTTAGGAGTCCATTTTTTAAAACAGATTTTCTTTATCTTAAAGAGAGGCAAAGGGAGGGAGAAAGAGAGGGAGAGAAAGCTGTGTGCAGTTGTCTGTCGAGCGCCCCCTACTGGGGGCCTGGCTCTTTGTTCCGGGTAGAACCGCCCCGGTGCCCACGGGAGAGGTCTGCGGTCTGCAGCCAGTTGGATTCTGGGCTGGCTCCGCTTCGTGATGGGAGGGGCGGCTCGGGACTCATTTCAGGGGCTCGCGGGCCGGTGTGAGCCGAGAATGCTTTTGAATGGAGCTACCTTCCGTGCCGAGTGTGACACTGTCACGGCCATTGCCAAATTGAAGCCCCCGGTCAGCAGCCGGCTGTGCGTGGGACTGTTTTTTACGTGGACATGTGCGGAACGGTAGATTTGGGTGGGTCAGTTCGACAGGCACGTGGGGGCTCGGAGTTTGAAAGGAGATGCGAACAGGCATTGGGGCGGGTGGGAGGAGCCCGGTTTGGAAAGTAACGGGAACAGAGGGGCCACTTTGTGGGGCGCGGCTGTGAATCACTGAGTGAGGTATTTGCAGGTCACCTGTGTGGAACGTGTCCGGGGTTGATAGGAGAGTGTTAATGCAAAATGTAAATTTTTAAAAAGTCAGGAAATACATGCGGAGCACTTGTCAGAGGTTTGCGCAGCTCCTAGCGGAGCCGGCGTAGGGGAAGCGCCCTCTGTCGGCCGGAGGCCGCCAGTGTCCCCTCGGAACAGGGACAGCAGCCCCGGGCTGGCGCTCCTGATAGAGAGCTGCGCTGTCCCGGGGTTGTCCCGGACGGCAAGTGCCCGTCACCGCCACTGCTCCTTCTGGAAGTCCTCTGAGTGTGCAGAGCCCGGGCTCTGGTCCCTAGTGAGCGAGCGGACAGTGGCCCCTCCGTGTGCCCGCTGCAGCCCGTGGGCCGGCACCCGCTGTGCAGGCTCCGCTTTACCGGACGCAGGCGGAGCTTGTGCTGTGGCGGTGGGGTCCGTGGTCGCAGCAGATGCCGTATGGCCCAAGGGCCCGAAATATGTGTCTCTTCCCCCACCTCAGAGTGCTGGTACCCTTGTCTGGCTCGTGGGACAAGGCAACACTAAAAGGGCATGCAGAACCTTTTTGTCCTATTTCCAAGTTTTAGATACTTTTTTAAATTACTAGGTTGAGACGTTTACTTCTCCCCAAACACCCCCTTAGTCTTCTGTGTTGTCACCCCCATACGCGCCCCTTGTCGCTAGGTGCTTAAAGCAGTGTGGCCTGGAAGTGACTGCGTCCCTCGTGTAAATGTCTTACTGTCATTCTTTCCCTGCCTTGCACACGGGGCTCAGCAGGGTCAGGACGACGTGCTCAGCGACTGGAGAGTTTAGCGCTTGTGGGTTGTGACGGCGGGGCGGGGCGGGGCGGGGCAGGGGCAGCGGCAGGGCTGCCCCGCTTGCTGAGCTGCGGCCTCTCCCCCCAGCACCCTGCAGACACTGCGGTGCGCAGGCTGCGAGCTGCAGCTCGGCCACTTCTACTGGTGCACGCCCGGCCACCTCGACTACAAGAGGGACTTGTTCTGCTTGGACGTGGGCGCCGTTGAGAGGTAACTGGCGGACGGACGCCTCGCCCGAGTGCCCGAAGGTGTTCGGTGGGGCGGTTGGTCTGGAAGTGTCAGAACTGATCAGCCCTTGGGTTCCTTTATATTTTCAAGCAATAATTTCTGATAATACAGCCAGTGATTCTTTTTGACTTATTTGGTATTGGGAAAGTCAGACATTCAAAATTATAGGGGGAAACGTGTGAGAACATTTTTACCAGTAAAAATAATGTTGAATAGTTCTTAAAAATAAAATTTAATTTAATAGGAATTTTTTTAAAAAACCACTGGTGGATTAATATTTTCAGTTTTTACTTTTCCCCTCAGTTTTTAGCCTCCTAGAATATCCTGCAGAAATAGGAATTTCAAAACTGGTTAGTAAAGAAGCCCCCTTGGTGTTCTGGAAAAGCAGAAGTACGGGGTCCGACCATTTCTATTCCCTTGAGTCTAGTCTAGACCTGTCCTTGAGCTGTAACAGCGTCATCGATGCAATGCATAAAAAAGAATCGTCTTCTCTCCTCTGAGAGGGACGAGGGCTGCCTCCACTCTCAGAGTTCAGGAAGAAGGCGGGTTAGGGTCTGACGACAACTTCAGGTGTCTTGGCCTTTCTTACAGGAAACACGAAATTCAGTAAATTAATCGGCCCTGCTGTGTTTTCATGGGCCCTGGAGAGGCCGTGACCCGCACTCTCGGGGGACAGTGGGAAGGAAAGGCGGTGCCTGCGCCTTGTTCACTGGAGGCGGTTTGTCACTCCTGTTGAGTCTCTGATGTTTTCTCTTTAAAAAAATTTAAAACCCAATTTTTATTGTAATTTCTAACGACTCTGTAATAAGCGTAGTTTCACCACCTTCTTTGAAACTGGAAAGGTTCCAATGAGAACTTTCAAATCTGCAAACTTTACAGGTTTCACCAAAGAGCAGGCCAGGGCCGCTCCTGAATGGGGGCGCGTGGACCCGTCCCGGCTCTCCCATGGGAGTGGGGGCCCTGTGGGCCAGGCCGGGACAGGCGCTGCGGGGCCTCTGAGAGCCTGACCGGTGCGGGAGGAAGGAGTGAGGAGGAGCACCTAGGAAGGGTGTGGGGTCTCGGCCCAGCGCGGGGTGCAGGCCTGCGCAGGAAGGCCGCTGCCCCGGGGCTCCCAGTGGGGAAGCTCCTGTTTCCTGAGCAGTGGAGTTTACGGCCAGGTTACCCCTGGGGGCGGAATCTCCATGCCGAGGAACCTGGTTTGTTTCAGAAGTGGATGCACTCTGTAATGGTCATCCACCGTCTTATAAATCACTCGATGCCATTTAATTTTTCTACCTCACCCTATTTTTCGGTGCCATGTTTTACATACGTAGTCAGCAGGGTTTTCAAGACACGACTGTTCTCATTTCATACCAGAAGTGACATGGTGGAGTCGCTACAAGTGGTAACGATGCGGCTCATCAGGGCAGCAGGGCCCCTTTGGCCTCTGAGCGGCGCTCACCCCACACCCCAGGTGTAGCCAGCTGCGGGGCTCCCTGCCCCCGGATGGTCTGCGCCGCTGGGTGCAGCGGAGCGAGGTTTGGGGCGGACTGCGGGGGGGCTGCCCCGATTCGGGTGGGCAGGAGTCAGCTCCACACGTTGTTGTTCGCTCAGCGGCGCAGGTTTGAAAATGCAGGCGCCGGAAATGCTGTTTGAAGAAACTTCAAAGTGGAAGTTTGGGCCGTGAGCGTTCACGTTTGGCCACCCTTCCTGTCCCGGAGCAGAGGGCTTAGAGTAGCCGGAGGCGCGAGGGCTCGGGCAGGGCCAGCAGGCGCCGAGCCAGGTGGTGCACGGCGGAGCCGTCTGCGCAGGCGCGGACACCAAAAGGCGCCGTGGTGGGCGCTCGCTGGTTCTGGTGCAGGGAGTAATAATGGACTTAGAAGTTTGATATTGTTAACGAACACAAGTTTAACATGTGCCCGCTTTTGTATTTTCACTTTGTACTGTGCAGTTATGTTTTAGGGTCCTCAGTCAAGCAGATCGTGTCCGAAGATAAAGAGGTTTTTGGTCTTGAAAGCAGGATTGTGATAGAAAACTCCCTGAAGCAGGTAACTGACTCTCCTGCAGGCCGGGTCCTCCGTGTGCGGGCGCCCCTCACCGCGTCCACGGGCGGAGCTCCTCCACGCTGCGCGGCGCTTGTTTACCAGTGTTCGCACAGTTGGTGTGTTGGGGCAAACTGCAAATTAAGCTAAAGCTCTATCAAAAAAAAAAAAGGCAGCAATTTCGTGCCAAAGTCAGAGTACTGTATAATCTAAAACTATTAAACTAGTACAAAGACATCTCTGTGTCAAACCGGCATCTCACTTGACTCAGCTCTGGTGGCACAAGCGGCCCGCCCCTGGCGGCGTCTGCTCGCGGCAGCACGGCGACAAGTGAGTAAAAGGGCCTTCGATGCGGCGTTGGAAAGTGCTGGTGATGGGTTTGGGTCCATTTCCGTGAAATTCGGTTCAAGTTATCTCACTGAACATCCATGTGCGGTGTATAATGTTCAGCAGTTGCGTTCATGGCATGTGTTCTAACCGTCTAACCGTGTGTGTTTTGATCACGAGTGTGTCTGTGTTCTCATATTTCCTGACGCACCAGATGGAAGACGTTTTGAAAGTGCTGCAGACGAAGCTGTGGGACGTGGAGACCAAGCTGGCCTCTTCCGGAGCCGAGGGCTGAGACCCGCTGCTGGGCTCCCACTGCGGACTTCGCTGCCGAGGGCTGGCCGTCCCGCGTGTAGCGGTTCTTGTACCAGTCACTTCGCTGAGAACCGGGGGCTCTGACTGGCCGTGCACCTCGTTGTTTCTCGTATTGATCAGTGAGAACAATCGTAAAAATCGAAATTTTAAACCTGTTTTGTGATACTTGTTGGAAATAGGATTTAAGATCTTTTATTCTGATAAGAAACTGGAAACTGCCATGATTTCCGAACCGTTTTCTCCTTTGTATCCAATTCATTATTCTTCATTTTGTACTTTCTTTTATCTTTAATATTTGAATAATACTCAGTACTGTGTGGTAAGAAGAACCTTATCAGCCGTCCTACCCACTGTGTGAGTGGGTCTCTAAAAACACGGGCACAGCTCTCTGGGGAAATCGGCCAGTTGAATTATTTGTCTGGATTATTTGAAAACTTGCACCTGAACAGAGCATCATGAACTCTAATAAGAAAATCGCCCTTGTTCCTGTTTATTCACTACTATATGCCTCTAAAATCTGTAAAAATAGTCACCAAAGAGAAGCAGTCACCACTGTGGGCGGGGTTCCGGGAAGTTTTCAGTTTCCCGGTTTCTATAATGTAAGATTTATTGTAAGCACATGTTATTTTTATAATCAGGAAGAGAATAAAGATTAAAACGGTGCTTTCCGATGAGTTTTTATGAGACTGTGAGGATGTGTTATGAAATCCGCCCTTTTAGTGGCGTAACAAGTGAGTTTCTTGCCCAGCGGTGAGGTGTGGAAGGACTCTCCCTCCGCCACCTCCCTCCGCCGCCTCCCTAGTGCCGGGCGTGCGGGGCTGGGGGCCAAGTGCTGCACTTTCAGGTCCCTACGTAAAACTGGCGGTGGCTTCTGTTTGGCCACTCTTAGGAGTATTTACACCAGAGAAATCAGCCAGTGCTAGGAAAGGAAGGTATTTTTCCCCCCAGAGAGCTGGTTTCCTAGCACATTAATTTTTTTAAACATTTATAGATTGATTTTTAAAGAGTGAGAGGAAGGGAGAGAGAAACATTGAAGAGTTCATTGTCTGATTCTTATATGTGTCCTGACTGGGGATCGAACCCACAGCCTTGGTGTATCAGGATGATACTCTAACCAACTGAGCTACCCAGCCAGGGCCTCGATACATTACTTTACGTTTTGAATCTCCATCCACACTTTTAAAAAAGATTTACTTGTTTATTTTTTAAAGATTTCATTTATTTTTTAGAGAGAGGAAGGGAAGGAGAAAGAATGGGAGAGAAACATCAATCTGTGGTTGCCTCTCCTGCGCCCCCTACTGGGGACCTGGCCTGCAACCCAGGCACATTCCCTGATGGGGAATCCAACCAGCGACCTTTTAGTTCACAGGCTGGCGCTCAGTCCTCTGAGCCATACCAGCCAGGGCCTCTCCACACTTTTTTATTTAAAGCTTGAGAGAGAAAAGAAAATGACTTCTTAACAACCAATAAGACCAAGTCCTAACATATTATGTATTAAATCTAAAAGGAAAAGCTGTTTCTTAACACTTGAGTGACTACGACCATATTCTGTTTCTTTTCCGGAGAAAGGCAAACCACAGTTCACTCACCCCTGGGGCCCTGCGGGGGTCGGTTGCAGGGCCTGCCTGGACACTGGAGCCCTTGGGTGCTCGGTCCCTGATGTGAAAGGGCGCAGCACACGCCCTCCTGTCTACTGGACACCCCCAACACGACCCCCCGCAGGGGAGATGCCAGGTAGGTCATCGTGAAACTGCATTTGAGAGGGGCAACAGGAGAAAGGTCCGTGTGCGATCGGTACAGACACACCCGTCACAGGCCCAACCACATACCTGATGGAAGCGACTGCAGCAATTCTTCCCAAGTATTTAAAAAAATACTTTATTGAGTGTGCTGTTACAGGTGTCCCAACTTGCCCCCTCCGCCCCCTCCACCCAGCACCCCCACCATTGTTCACCTCCATGGCTTGTGCAGACACATTCTTCGGCTGCTCCGTTTCCTGTTGCTGTGGCTGTTCTGTAACTACCTGTTTGTACTCCTGCACCCCTCACCTCTCACCCTTTCCCCCACAACAGCCCCGTCCTGTCTGGTGACCATCAAAACTCTGTAGCCACGACTCCGTCTCTGTTCTTGTTTGCATAGTTTTTCTTTTCTTTTTTTAGATTCAGTTGTTTGATAGATTTCTATTTTTTTGCCATTTTATTCATAATTTTTATTTTCTTAAATAAGCCCCTTTAACATTTCATATAATAATGGTTATATAATAATGGTTTGGTGATGGTGAACTCCTTTAGTTTTTTTCTTGTCTGGGAAGTACTTTATCTGCCCTTTGATTCTAAATGGTAGCTTTGCTGGATAGAGCAGTCTTGGCTGTAGGTCCCTGCTTTTCATGACTTGGAATATTTCTTGCCAGACCCTCTGGCCTACAAAATTTCTTTTGAGAAATCAGCTAACAGTATTATGGGAACTTCCCTGTAGGTAACTAACTGCTCTTTGCTTGCTGCCTTTAAGATTCTTTATCTTTAACCTTTGGCATTTTAATTATGATGTGTCTTGGAGTGGGCCTCTTTGCATCCATCTTGTTTGGTACTCTCTGTGCTTCCTAGACTTGCATATTTATTTCCTTCACCAAATTAGGGACTTTTATTTCATTATTTTTTCAAATAGATTTCCAATTTCTTGCTCTTTCTCTTCTCCTGGTATTCCTATGCTGCAAATGTTGGATCTCTTGAAGTTGTCCTTACACTATCCTCATTTATTTTTTGGATTCTTTTTTCTTCTTGTTCTGATTGATTGTTTTTTGCTTTCTTTTTTTTTTTTTTTAAGATTTTATTTATTTATCTTTAGAGGGGAAGGGACAGAGAGAGGGAGAGAAACATCAATGTACGGTTGCCTTTCATGCATCCCCTGCTGGGAACTGGCCTGCAGGGAACCAGCCTGTAACCCAGGCATGTGCCCTGACTGGGAATCGAACCACGACTGTCTGGTTCGCAGGCCCGCGCTCAATCCACTGAGCCACACCAGCCAGGGCTGTTTTTTGCTTTCTTATGTTCCAAATCATTGATTTCATTGTCGGCTTCATCCACTCTACTGTTGTTTCCCTGTAAGTTGTTCTTTATTTCAGTCAGTGTGTCCTGCATTGCTGATTGGGTCTTCTTTATGCTGCTGCTCAGCATCCTTATATCTAGTGTTTTGAATTCTGCATCCGACAGATTTATCCATTTTGTCTAGCTCTTTCTTCTGGAGTTTTGATCCAGAAACATTTGGGCCATGTTTCTTTGTGTCCTCATTTTGGCAGCCTCCCTGTGTTTGTTTCTATGTATCAGGTAGAGCTGCTTTTACTCCGTGTTTTGATAGTGCGGCCTAATGTAGTCGGCGTCCTGTGGGGTCCAGTGGCACAGCCTCCCCTGTCACCCAAGCTGGGTACCAGAGTTGCACCCTCTGTGTGGGCTGAGCACTCCCTCCTCTTGCGGTTGAGCCTTCTTGGTTGTTGTTGGCAGGTCATTGCGTGGGATTTACCCAGGCCAGTCAGCTGCGAGAACCGTCTGTGACCACTGACCACCAACCTCTGTCCTCTGTGGAGGATCAGCTGTGCAGGGCAGGGTGGTCTGTAGCTGTCCACTGGCTGCACAGGCTCTGGAGTTACCTGGGTGGTGCAGGCCAAGGTCGGCCCCCACCTGTGTTCTGCCCGGGGCCACCCTGGCCGAGCCGGAAAGCAGTCCGAGACGCTGCTGCTTGTGCTGGGCTTGGGGATTCCCAGGCAAAGCGCAGCCGGAGTCCAGGCCTGCAGCTGCTGGCTGCCTGGGGCTCATTCAACTTGATTTCGGACAGTTCTGAAGGATGGTTGTTCTACGTTCGGGTTGTCATTTTGATGTGGTTGTGCAAAGAGGTGAGCCATGTCTGCCTACGCCGCCATCTTGATGGAAGTCCTTCCCGAATGCTGTCAGTCAGTGGCCGGCTGAACCCGAGGATGTGGAACTGGTGGAGGGAGGGCTGACTGTACCCGAGAGCAAATGATTTAAGATTTTATATAGATAGATAATGTTATAGAAATCTTTTGTTCTTCCTGATTAACCTAAATAGCTGCATTGTTCCATGCCTGTGAACAAGTGAAGGAAGTCCAACTGCAGTCAGTTTTCAACTGAATGGACATATAAAAATAAAAAGACACTACCCTGAATGCGGTGGTTAGAATTGGATGTTAACCATGTTATGGGAATGCAAGGGGAAGTCACCAAGCTGAACTCATTTGCATGGGTAATTACCCACCTGTGATCACTCTGGGTCTTACCTATTCCATCCTCCTCCCACATAAAGTTTAAAATGCTTTGTATCAAACATTCGTTCCTAACCAAATACAATGAATTCTTGGGATGGCGGGGGTGGGGGGTGGGGGGGTGTGTGTGCTGTAAATGTGACTCTGCCACTTGAAACAAGATGCGAAATCAGTGTGCTGGGGGGCGGGGGGGGGGGGGGCGCCTGAGGTCCGGAAATCAGTGCGGGTGGAGACAGCCCGCTGGTTTGGGTGGTCAGCAGGAGGCCCTGAAGAAGACGCTGTTATCAGTGTGGAATCCACAAGACGCCCGGGAGCCATCTGAACAGCTGCCTTCGGTGACCCTGATAGGTCAGGAAGGTGGAGACCTGACGGAGCAGCCTGGCCACCCACCCGAGGGGCCTTCCTTCCGGCCCCTGATGACCCACAGGGCAGGCACCGGCTGAGAACTGTTTGGGAATACAGACCCCCAGGCCCGGCCCTGCTGCCTGTGAGCACTGCCCAAGCTGAGCGGCGCCCTCGGGGTCCCCTCGTGTCCAGGCTGGAGGTGGGCTGGGGTGGAAGACAGTGGCCCAGCGCCCCAGCACCCCGTCCCTGTGCCCTCCCGCTCTGTCCCATCACTAACCCTCTCAACACCCCGGCACTTTTCCAGGCTGGAGCGGGTGAAGCTGGCCCCTCCAGCGCGGAGCTGGGCTTGTTTTTCCCTGAAGGACCACAAGGGGCCGCGTTTCTCCACCCCGTGCAGCCTGTGGGTGCCCGCCACCCAGGTCACCACGCTCCTTAATTAAACTGACGGCCAAGGCCGCCCCCACGCCCCACTCGGACTGCCGGCTGCTTGGGTGGTTCAGGGCCCTGAAGTGGCCCCTCTGCCCCCCCACCAGCTCTGCCCAGAGAGACGGCCTTTCTCCCTGGGACTCGACGTTCCCCCTTCCGGGTGTTCCACTGGGTTTGGTGCTGCGTCCCCTCCCCCAGGTGTTGCCAGCTGCGGTGGCCACCGCCAAGGGCGAGGTGTCAGGTTTCCCAGGGCAGCGCTGGGACCCCCGGCACCCCTCCCCCCAATGCTCCTGGGCCTTGCGAGTCCGTTAGGCTGAGGGCCCCAGTTGTCTCCATGAACTGTCGCGTGAAACGCGTTTCCTTCCACGTGGAGTGTTTCCTGGAGCCTCATGGTGCCGTAGCCCCCCCTCGCCACCCGGGACACCCTCTAGGGCCGTGGATGCCTGAGACGGCGGGCGGCGGTGAAGCCCAGGTACAGAGGCGGGCAGGAGGAGGACCACCGTTGCTCGTAGGGAAAGACAGGAATGAGTGCGCAGCGCGAACTGATCGGTGCGCTCACAGCCGTGAGCCGACGTTTGCCCACCCGGCCTGCTGCGTTTCACACACACGGGCC